ACACACATGCGCGCGCACATTTTGCTTGAGAACAAGTCCTTCATGTTTCCTGAGCAAGTAACAACCACCACCAGCTATCCGTCCATGTGGCCAACGCTGAACAAAAACTGAGAAATTTCTATTGATGCAGGAGTCTGTCCATATACAAAGAATTTCTTTCTTTTTTTTTTTTTTTTGACTTACGACATTAAAATATTGGAAATGATGGGACTGCATTCGCTGTTTAAAGAAACCAGGGTGTGTCAGTAGAAGTTTCCCTTGAAGCCTCCAGCAGGGATGCTTGGTTTTATAGAAGCAAAGGTTAAATGTGTTTTAAAAAACTGCATCTAACTTTGCACTGTAATTAGCAGTTTAGTCCAGCTCAGAGGGCAGAAATAGCAGCATCTATTGCTCAAGTTTTACAGGAGGATTTTGCATTAAGAAAAAAAAGAAAAATCAGTGCCAGCATAATGCCATTCAACACGAGACTTTGTGACTGCCTCATCCATGCTGCTTATAGGGGGTCACTTATTTCAGTATCTAGCAAAAATTATTCTTAACTTTTGAAGCCCTTATAAAACTGTCAGCTAACTGGAATGTGCTGTGTGGGCAGCAGATGCACACAATTTGAAATGCAATTATTTAATTTTAACGATGTGTTTTTCCACAGGCGACTCGGGAGCCTATTAGCTGTGTGTATGTGCATGTGTGTGCGCGTGAAGGGGGGGTGCTAGGGACACCCATTGACACATTCACCAGTGATTAATGGTTCAATCCAGATTGTTTCATTTAGGTCACAACTGGAAATGAAAGCTCTGCAGAGCCATTTACCCCCTTCCCTCCTGCAGTCAAAGGTGTAGCCAGAACGGTATGCTGATTGCAGATGCGGGCCATGGTTAAAATGAAAAAGGAAAACTTAGAATTAATTATTCAGTACCAGCTTCTGCTAGAAGGAAATGTGGAAGAACAGAAGAACTGAAATGCCAAAGATCAGTTTATTTCTCTCTTTGCTCTAACAACAAAGAGAGTCCCATCCCTTCATTGAAATGGAAACTGGATTAAGAAATAAAAGAAAAAATCGTTATCAAATTGCATGTGCAGTGACTTTATTTCCTAAAATGGTTACAACCACTGTACACACTTTTAGTCTTCAATTAAATTGCCATACTTTGACAATTTACTAGAACAAGCGGTTGGCAACAACATATCAAAGGTAGCAGTGTAAACCACATATATAAAATGAGATGATAATGGGCACACGAGATTTTAAGGTGCCTCTGGAACATCCACTGAATTCCTAAGTGATACACTGAAGCGATGATATAGTTCAACTGGACACGGTCAGCCCTAACAGATGGAGTCACAAAATACAGCCTTTATCTACAACAACATTTTATGCCTTCACAGGGCAGAAAGAACATCCTGCCAGATCCTATCAACACACCTGGGATTTACCCGGTAGTATTTGTACAGAATAGCCTCATTCAGACTAACCTTCTGCAGCAGCATGTCACTGATACAAAGCCTGGCCTCCATGATAGAGAGCGGGTCTTTAAGGCATGGGTGGTCCCAGCAAGGCAACACAGGAGTCAGAAAAAGAAGCAGAAGCTTGCAGGAACATTAAACAAATAAGACAACTGAGCCCATTTATCTTTGGGATTTCTTCCATTCCCCTTCCCCTGGCATTACCAGAAGACTAGGATGTCAACTCCTGCTAACAGCACACAGCTCCCTTCCCTTCCCTGGGCTCCCAAAGACTTGCAGACATTTGCATTTGTCACAGAGAATTTACTTAAAACAGAAAGTAAAAAAACAAACAGACAAAAAAAGACAGACATTGGCTATTATACTACAGCATTAATGAAGGAATACTTTGGTTTACAATTTTTCTCTGTTAATACACTTACCTCCACTGCCACTGAATCTTTGTGATGACCTGTTACAATCATTGTTCATTCAAGTGGGACTTGTTCTGCCCAAGAAGTGCAAATATCACTGAAATCTAGTCCTTGAGGATTAAACCTCGTAGAAGATTAGAATTATTTATTCTCTTTAGCTGTGACATGAATAAATACATATGTTGCCTTGTCTCTAACTGTATGATGCCTGTATTTAACTGTAGGATCTTATACAGACTCTGTGCTTGCAAGCAAGGTAACTACAGGCAGGAAGGAATCGACCTCCTAACATTGTGCCGAGTACGTACTGCCTTACAAACAGGAGATTGTATCACCCTTCTCTGTCATTTCCCTCTGTAAATAAATTGCAATTGTTCTCCATTTAAAAAACATTTCCATTCACTTCTTCCATTGGCATTTCCAATGTTGAAAAACTTTTTCAAGATGAAATACTGGTTGGCAAAGAAGGAATACCTAAAATAATATACCACTTACTCACTGCGTAATTTTTGTAGTTTGATCTATCTATCTATCCTCTCCATGTATATAGCTAATCCAGCAACTGTACCTAACAAAAAGATATGCTCTCAGCTCCTTGACAGACGGGCACAGAGTAGATTCACTTCAGAGCTGCAGGAGCTATTCATAATACACCTTGTCATATTCAAGGCACTTAAGATTTTAAACGGCCAATATGTCACTAACAATTTAATAAACACTGCTACTCTGGCACACACACATCTTGGGTAGATTACTTTTATCTATTTGCCAATTTTATTTATTTGCCAGTCAGAATAGGAAAGGATAAAGTATGAGCCTTCAAAGGAACAATGAAACAATCTGAAGGATGGCATGGATTTTTAGAAATAAAGCTCCAAAGTTTTTACCACTCCTTTAGTATTTACTCTGAGCTATAGAAACTAAAATGCAACATTAATAAAAATATTCCTAAACCACAAATTTTGGTTTCAACAGTACTTGATTTCTTCTTATAAATTATGTCTTTATTTTACAGAATAGTTTATAATTTGTACTGCTTGATCACTTTACAGAGATACAAACTATAGCCTCTGACTTAACAACTACCAGGAGATTTAAAACAGTTTTTTACTATGACCCCCTCCCCCCCCCATAACAAGTACTTTATTTCCAGTTTTGCACATGATTCTCCTAAAACTCTCCAAAACTATTTTTATATTTTCTTAAGCATGAAACATAAGTCTTCACTTTTCATGATGATTAACTGACAAGTGTTACTTTCTTGTATATTGTGTATAGTCTCAGTGTTATTTTTGCTATGGACAATACATTAAAGCTTAATTATCATAGCTGTCTAAAACTGACTCTTGATGAGAGAAGGTTTATCAGTTTAATAGTCAAAAAGGAAATTAAAGTGCACACCTCCAGAAACTGGTTACACTAATTTACGGTGCAATCACCATGTGTTACATGGCATTACAAGATTTAATTACCTAGTAAAATACAAAATCTGAAAAGCATTCGGTTTATGGGAATGCAAAGCTCTTATCTGTGTTTTGCTTCAGCAAACATGGCATTCTGGTCATGATACTTAGGTACCATGATGTGGTCTCTGCAGCACAAAACCACTGAACATTAAACAAATGACATGACTGTTCAGTGTCATTTGGACAACAAAGCCAAAGCTGTGGAGACCGAGCAACCTCAGTGTCTCCTTGCTTAGTGTTTGTCTCTCACAACCCTCCGTAATGATGCCAATGCTCTTGACAACCCTGAGCATCCTTGCACACCTATCCACACCCAACTGGTTTTACAGGCCAGTAGGTAACAGCCAGCCATAAACATCACCACTGCAACCTCAGGCCTTCCTTTCCTGTTAGTGTTCTTAGAAGTTAACAGTGGAGGGTCTGGCACCCTCCATCTCCCATTAAACAGTACAGACCCAAAAGACCAGTGAACTGCTTAAATATCCAACCAGTTTTCTTTCTTGAAAATAGGTCTTTATACCATATAGTAAATTCTGCATGGCAAATACAAAGCATACTGTAAACAGTACTGGGATAAGACTACTTCAGCATTATGCCATACATTTCAAGACAAGGAAAACACCGTTAGGTCAATTAAAGGAGCATTCTAGCCCTCAGTAGGATGCTCGCAGCAGAAGTTAATACAAGTTAATAACCTGAAGCTCTTTGTCTGCTCTGCATTCTGGCAGGAAACCAAGTTAGACGTTGTCCTTCTGCCCAAAGTACAAGAAATTCTTCATATATTTTTTTTCTGTTGAATGACCATCCAAGGGCAGCCTAGAAAGAGTCCCTGGAAGGAGGTGCCCCGGACTCTTGCTGGGTAGAAAATGGATATCACAACACAAGCTTTTGTAACGATAGGAGAAACAGCAGTTCATCACATAATCCTAAGGACTGTCAAGCACTTTAAGATCCTAGCCTACAGATGTCACATTTGCTCAACATCTTCCAAAAATCACATTATCAAACTGAAGGTTGCCTGCTAACTAAGAAAACTATGTTGTTTTAGAAGAACAAAGCTTCACTAAGCAGCTAATTATGCAAGTTTCTGTTTGCATTTCCAGGAAGGCAAGAGAAGGCCACACTTGGCAAAAATGAAATCTGTTAATATATAGTGTTTTCCTTCTGCTGATAGCTAGAGATGCACTTATATATATACTGTTTTTTTTAAAAATAGTGGTTGATTAAAGAAGATTTGTTCATAATTATGCTAGAAAAATACAGTTACTCAAGTAGAAAAAAAATACAAAACACACATAACCCATTCACATTATCTACAGTTGATACCATAGGGACATGTTCTATGCCTAAAGCAGCTAACATTACAACTGCATACTGATTTTCAAAGTTGGTTGTGTGCATATGTTTGTAAATATCTTACATGTTGCTTCCCAGATAAAAGCTTAGGAAGTACTTCCCAGATGTAGAATCACAAATCTTGTGCCTGAAGATGGTATTGACTGGTTTTGTACCCATAATACAGGCATAGCAAAAACATCTGCACATTCCTCAGTTTGAAAATCCAGACCTATTGCTCTTTGGCTGACAATATTTGTATTTTCAAACTTGCAGCCAGAAAAACAATACATATCAGTGCTGTATCAGTATGAAACAGAACATGGCTTTTTTTTTTTCCTTCTTTTTTTCCTTTTTTTAAATGAAGTCCTCCGTGATTGCAGAATGTTGTCCTTATCTCTTCTAACCCTTACAATACTTGCATTCTTCGTATGCTGGATAAATTAATCCTATCTGCATACTCCAAAGGGATTAAAGCTCCTCTGCTCCGCACATCAGAAGGCACCCCTTAAATAGCAGGAAGGGTGCGTCTCTCTTGTGCTGTTAGCTCAGGGTGCCACACATCCACAATGAATATCAGGCGGTAAGTTTCAGCATCCTGCCATACTTCATGTTCGAAAGAGTCATCAAAAATCAGAACTTTCCCTTCTTCCCAGGTTCTGCAACACAAAAAAGAACATGATTTAGTGTAATATTTGAAGTGCCGTGGAGCAGGCAAGCTATATATCAGCTCTGAAGATGGCCTTTTACAGTATGTATTCCACAGTCAAGATCTCAGTACCTAATATAAAGAGATTGGAATATTAGAATGTTAATTGAAATAAACTACAGAAAGATCGGTCTAATGGACCTTCATGTTTCTGAGGGATTGTTTCTTCTCACTCCGCATAGTTATGTCCACATGTGCCCACATAGACATTCAGACATTTGCAATATTTGTTATACACTTAAAGAGTTGAGTCCCATAAGCAGGGAGCATTCATCAGGCTTACAGGTATAACGCTAGTGTAGTAACAAACTTCTCTGCTTTTCTAATCAGATAAATCCATAATGAGTAATGCAAATTGAGGGAATGACCAGCAATATGGTCATATGGTTTGAAAATAAATTACATTAAATCAAGCTGCTTTTTCTAAAAATCAGAACAACAGAATTAGGCCCTGATCATGCTTAAAATTTCAGGGATATTAACAGTCTTGTCCCATAAATCCATTCAAAGCACAGAGTCTAAAGATTTTTCTTCAGAGGAAAGTTGCAATGCCATAGTGTACACTGGCTTAACTATACTAATAAAGCTGAACTGGAACGATGAAACCATGTAACTTGAAGTCCCTCTGCTTGCCAAGTACTGCTTAGGCATAGCAGATCACTGAAGTAAGTACGCTGGGTAAGTGTTCATTACAGCATGGAAGAGCCAAGTTTTAACAGTGGTACTTTTCCAAGGTCTGTACCTTTGTTAGGCCCAAAAAGGGATGCATATAATTTATTCAAAGTGGCTTGGCTTTGAGCACCTTAATCATCTGAAAAATTAACAAAATTACCAGATTTAAAGACAATGGCAAGAGGCAATGTAGAAGGGAGATACTAATTGTCAGAAGAATCGGTGTTCCTGTCAATTTTATGACAGATAGAATCACAGAATAATTTAGGTTGGAAGAAACCTTGGAAAGGCATCTGGTCCATGCCTCTGCTCAAAACAAGAGTTACTGCAAAGTTACATCTAACTGTGAGGTTAGATGAAGTATCTCAGGTTCTCAACTAGTGGATTTTTGAGTGTCTACAACCAAGGGTATTCCTCCATCTCTTCCAGTGTTTCACTAACCTCATTGTGCAAATTTCCTTCTATCTAGATGGAATTTCCTTCACTGTCACTTGTGTCCATTACCTCATTCTATTACCTCCAAAAAGAGTCTGGCACTGTCTTCTGCACAGTCCCCCATTAGTAGTTGAAGACAGTAACTAGGCTTAACTAGGCTCCCCTTTAGCCATCTCTTTTTCAGACTTCAAACCAGCTCTTTGAGCCTCTCCATGTGTTGCATGCTCCAGTCTCCTAATCATCTTTTTCATCCTCCACTGAAGTCCCTCTAGTTTATCAATGACTTTTGTGTACTGAAAAGCCCCAAACTGGAGACAGTACTCCAAAGGCAGTGTCTTGAGTGCAGAAGAGAGGGAAAAAAATTGCTCCCCTCAAACTGCTTCCTATGCACTTACTAACACAGTCCAGTACACAGCTAGCCTCCATCAAGACAAGAGCACATTATGACTCATGTTCAACTTGTCCCCTAGGACCTCTAAGTCCTTTTCTTCAAAGCTGCCTTCTATCCAGTCATCACCCAGTCTGCACTGTTGCAAGGTGTTGATCTGTTATCATTTGCAGGGCTTTGCATTTGCTTTGTTGAACTTCAAGAAGTTTCAGCTGGCACCCTTCTCCAGCCTGCTGAGGTCTGGATTCATAATTTTGAATAGAGGTTTAACACCTGGTTAAATGCAGTCTTGATACTGCAAAAAATCAGCAGCTGATCAGTGACCATTAGTTATAATGTCACAACATGTCAAAAAGCCACTGTGCTAGTCATTTCTCACTGCCCCTCAGATCTCAATCTCACCTACTGCATTTAGACACAGCAGCTGATTATGTGTTACATGATTTGCCTATTGTAAAATCAGGCAGTGGCATGAGCAAAGCACATTTATTTTGCATTGCAGCAGGAAAAAAGCATGGACCTGATTATACCCCTTCAGGTGCGACTGGATGAATAACAGTTGAGGCAATATTGGTCAAAGAAATGTTACCTCCGAAAGCCACTCTACAATGACCACATAATCAAGTGTGGTAACATAACAGGATCCCCTAGGAGCTGAAGCAGTCCATGAGGATGGATGCCCTTAAAGGGAATTAGGAACTCTGAACAATAGTGATGGTAAAGAAATAAAAGATCTTGCCATCAAGGATGGAAATGCATTGCTTAGCTCATTCAACTGTGTTCATTCACAGAGAAAACTTTTTTTTTGTTTTTTAAAAACAGGGTGAAAATGAGATTTAGACTCCCAAGTCATTTCGGTATTTTAATTTTTAATTCAACAAAAGCAAAAATTAGCCATCAAAATTTATGGGGTTGTGCTGCAATGTTCTGAAGAGAAATGGAAATTGAAATTGGATCATTTCAACTGAAATGATCATCTAAACATATTTTAAGCAAGAGTAGATAAACCAGAAAGCATAACATAATAAAAAATTCACACTGGCTTGCTCACATGCATCTGCCTTGAAGGCCCAGATAATGAGCCTTTTGCAGGTTTCACCTATGATCATGTGTTTTTTCTGCTATCACATCAGTTATCTGATAACAAAAATGTTTTATGTCATACAGACCCTGAGTCTCTGCTACTGCACTAAAGTTACATTGGTATTATTCAAGTCAATGGGAGTCAACAACTTGTAATGTTATAATGTGGTAAAAAAAAAAATCAAGCCGACTGGTTTTTTTTGGGTCTGTGTGGTGGTCTTTTTTTGTTGGTTTTGGGGGGGGAGGATTTGTTTTTGTTTGGGGGGTATTTTGTTTTGGCTTTTTTTTGTTGTTTGGGGGGGTGTTGGGTTTGGGGGGTTGGTTTTTTGGTTGTGTGTGGGTTTTTTGTTTTGTTTTGTTTTGTTTGTTTTTTGTTTTTTTTTAAATTAAACTAAGCCTGAAAAATCCTACCCTAAATAGCCTGAAAGTGCAGCTCAGTGAAGGACAATAAAAAAATCCAAGCACCCAGATGAAGTAGCTTCAGAGGTTAAAACCCAGGATCTATCGTTTGCATCATAATGGGATGGGCTGTTTTACACAACAAAGAAAAAGTCGTAAAGTTGACAGAACTATTAGCCCCTTTTGAAAAGATTACAAACCCCACCATTAGCATGCCAATAAATATTTTCTAGAAGCCTTCATGGTGTGAGAAACACTTCATTGTGGGACCATAGGGATGATGATATTCTGCTCTGGTGCTGAGCCACTTTGGGGTAATTTCTATGTCACCTGCACAGCTCTAGTGTCACCTGTTACAGGTGAGATCTTGGACTGGCTTCCGCAATAAGGCTGTAATTCTGCACCTTCATTTCAAAACACGATTACCTTGTCTGACAGAGATGTTCGATTTTGGTAACTAGACATCATTTACCTGCCATTTTTGTGCATTGTACCCTACACTTTACAGAGCTGGGACCTCAGAATGGCCCCATGACTTAAAATTGCTATAGCTGTACTGAATTCAATGAGGTGTACCAGCTCCTAGCAGCTGCAAAAAGACTCTTCTGCAAGTGAAGGAGTAAAACACAGTACTAGATAGAGCCGAGTTGCCTGTCCAAGTGCTGAGTTGGATTAAATGCTGAGTTGCACTGCCCCTCTAAAGACCCACACTGGGTGGCACAGAGGTAACCAAGCACAAAATTCTCATTGTTTCTGTTCTCTATCTCACACACACACCAGAGGGACAGAAGGCCAGAAAAGGCCTGACCTATGCTAACCTTCATATTTGAGCCAGCTCTCCTGTTTGAAACCACCAGTTTACCGCTGCTCTGAACCACCAGGAGGGGAGGAACTGACAATGCCCCAGGTAGGATTTCTTCCAGGCACCATTCCCTTCCACAGTAGTTCACCCACCTGCCCTTTCATGGGGGAAGGGATGTAAAAAAAAAACCAACCACCCTTTTCATTGCCATCAGTAGACACACTTTCAATGTTTTCAGGGAAAATCCTGCCTTTGATTCTGAATGTAGAGCTCTTGCCAAAAGTAACTAAAGTTAACACATTCCAGCACAGGCTGTAGCCAGCTCTTGAACGTTTTACATTTCAAATGAGGGAGTCCAATGCAATAAGACTGAGCCAGGTTCAGGAGCCTGGACACTGGGGTGCTCGGTCTGCAGCATACCGGCAGCAACAGGCGTTTCTCCACTCCTGACTTTGAGGGAGTGTTGCTACCAAGGAGCAGGTTGTTAAGTTCATTTTCCACACTGCTATCCCTTCTGTTTGGGTTAAGACAAAGAAGGGTGCCATCCATAATAAAGGGCGGTGAGCTGTGGACAGTTGCTCTCTTGGCAGCAGATCAAAACCACCACTTTGGTCACGCAGGCCACTAAAGAGCCACCTAATGGTAATGCCATTCAGTCATCACCAATCTGAATTCACAATACTGTCCTAAAGTGAAAAGACTCCACGTTTCCATAGTAGTCCTCTAAGCCCATTAGCTACCATCCAAATGTCTATCTTAAACTTATTTTGGATATTGGATAGGAATGCTGGAAGCAAAGGTCCATCACTACATAGATGTAGGTAGTATAGATTGTAACACTGACTGTGACAGATTATTAAATAAACTATATGTTGGCAGGAGTCTATAGTGACAACATTTTTTGTTATTAACTATTGGATACTTCTATCCTCAAAAATTCTAAGCATTTCTTGTTGTAGCTGTTTTCAAATGTTCTGAAAAATATCTTTGGTACATACTGCAGTCATGTAGACAGGAGGGGCATTTCATTTATCAATATCAAATATATCTGTACATTACTACCATGAAAAGAATTAAAAATTAATGCTTGTTGCACTCAGATGCTGCAGACAAGACAGAGAATCTTCAAAAAATATACATATAGATATTAAGCATCATTAGAATTTCACATAAGTGTCAGAAAATTAAGTCTGTAAGCAAAAAGCAATATAGTTAATACTATATTTTTCTGTGTTTAATAATATAATGCAAAAACATATCACATTTGCTCATATTTCCCAGGGGAGTATATGCCCTGATTGTAAATGTATAACTTTTGCATTTTATTTTGTTTTTTGCACCGAGCAAACAGAGACAAAACTGGTCTTCAAATCAGCATAATTTTTCCCTAAGGGGTAAGAATTCTCATTTAAAATGCGCTTTAAAGAAATTTGCTACCTGTGTAACTGATTGGGTCAAACACTTCATAGATGTGTTAATCTTCAAATTAATTTCAATTGGAATATTTTTAACTGAATTATAACAAATAATACTAGCTAGGAAGGAGGTTTCTGCAGTAATACAGGAGTATTCTGCTACGGTGGTGAAAAGGGAGGTATAGCTTAGTCTCAGCTTTTGCTGAATAAGCAAAGAATTCTAAGCAAAACAAAAAAAAAAATCACAACAAATAGAGGTACTCTGTTGGCAAGTACATTAGACTGATGTTACAAAAGTAAACACAGAGAGACTTCATGACTAATCTCACTGTTATTTCCATGCTATAGCAGAGAACAACAGCTTTGTCTCCCAAGATTCTTCTGACATTGTTTGACAAATGATATTTATATGTTTGTACCAAGAGTTAGGGTGTAAATTGCCTGTTTAATGAAATATATTACACTTCCTGATCAGTAAACCACCTTTTTTTTTTTCTTTTTCTTTTTTTTTTTTTGTTTTATCACATGCAGTCCTGCCCCCTTTTCAGCCTTGAAGAAGGTGGAAAAAACTCAAAAAAACCCCAAACCATACCTGTTGTCTTGGGCACACCGAATTCTGCAGCCTTCCTTAGGTATCACCAAGCCCAAATGCATCCTCAGCCGACAATTGGTGGGCCCTGTGTGGGGCCAGACATGAGTCCCTGGGTGCATGATAGAATATTTGATCTGCAAGAAGAGAGAGGCAGGCCTTCAACATGTTCAGGTTCACAACCATACTGCTAGGAGTTGAGGACTTCATTATGTCTCATCCTTGATGATGGGCTAAGAAGTCCAATGTCACCTTTTGTTAGAGTCTCAGCAACAATTGTGCTTTCTCACGTCTAAAGGCATTCAGTACTACAAGAAACGTCTTGTGGGGTGTGTGTGCATCCAGGTGTGTGCCTGTGTAAAAGTGCATATTTTTCATTTTGTTTAAAACAATCAGTATTCATATTTCAACCTGAAAATCATTATCTCCTATCTACCATCAGAAGAATACCTTCTTTCTTATGGAAAGACTTACAGACACTCTCATGGTTTAAAAGGATGGATCACAGGAGACACAAGGCCTGTGTTAGCCAGGCTGACTGGCCACTCTCAGATGACAACTCGGTTGTGAAGGTCATTGTCAGCCTTGGCTGGAGCAACCATGGGATGGCGGAACTCAGGATCACGAGAGGAGGGAGAAAGGCAAAAAGCAGGATTACTACCCACAGCTTCAGGAGAGCAGCCTTTGGCTTATTCAGGGATCTGCTGGGAAAAAAATGCCATGAGATACAGCGCTGGGGAGAAGAGGGGTCTAGGACGGCTGGTTGGTTTTCAAGGATCACCTCATCCAAGCTCAAGAATGGTTCATCCCCATGTGCAGGAAGCATGGAGACCCAGATAAAATGAAAACACAAAAAGGAAGCACACAAGAGGTGGAAGCAGGGTCAGGTCGCCCAGGAAGACTGTAGAGACACTCTGAGCATGCAGGGATGAGGTTAGGAAAGTCAAAGCTCTCCTGGTATTGAATCTGGAGATGGAAGTGAAGGGCAACAAGAAAGGTTTCTTTCTACAAATACATTAGCAGTAAAAGGAAGTCTAGGGAAAAACGTGGCCCTGCTGCTAAATGTGGCAGGAGATCTGATGACAAAGGATATGGAAAAGGCTGAGGCACTACATGCCTTCTTTGCCTCAGTCTTTACTGCTACGACTGACCTTCAGGAATCCTAGGTACCTGAGACCAGTGGAAAAGACTGCAGCAAAGATGACTTACCCTCAGTGGAGGAGGATGAGGTTAGAGAACATTTAAACAAACTCAACAAACTGGTCCATGGGTCCTGACGGGATCCACTCGTGAGTGCCGAGGGAGCTGGACGATGTTGTGAATCCACACACTCAATAATCTGTGAAAGGTCATGGCAACCAGCAGAAATCCCTGAGGACTGGTAAAAAGCAAATGTTGTTCCTATCTTCAGGAAGGGCAAGGAGGAGGATCTGAGGATTAAATATATATATATAGGCTATAGGCTAGTCAGCCTCACCTCGATCCCTGGGAAGGTGATGGAGCAAATAATCCTGGAAACCATTTCCAAACACATGAAGGAAAAGAAGGTGACTGGGAGCAATCAGCATGGATTTATGAAGGGGAAATGATACTTAACCAGCTTTCTGTGGTGAGATGTCTAGCTTGGTGGATGAGGGGATATTAGTGGATATTGTTTATCTCAACTTTAGTAAGACTTTCAACACTGTTGCCATGAACATCCTCATTGACAAACTCATGAAGTAGAAACTAGGTAAGTTGACAGTGAGGTGGATTGAAAACTGGCAGTTCAGTCAGGCTCAAAGAGTTGTGATCAGAGGCACAAAGCCCAGCTGGAGGCCACTCGTCAGAGGTATACCCCAGGGCTCAATACTGGGTCCAACATTGTTTAAGAGCTTCACAAATAACTTAGATGATGGTACGGAGTACATCCCCCTCAGCAAGTTTGCAGATGATAGAAAATTGTAGAGGAATGGCTGCACACTACATATTTTTTTCTGTCATTTATAGTGACCTTGGCAGGGTGGAGAAAGGAGCAAACAGGAATCTTACGATGTTGAACAAAGAGAAGTGCAAAGTTCTACAGTGGCGAGGAATAAGCCACGTACAAATACAAGCTGGTGGACAACCGTCTGGAAAGAAACTTTCCAGAAAAAGACCACAGGGTCCTCATAGACAACAACTTGAACATGAGCCAGCCATGTGCCCTTACAGCAAAGAAGACCAACAGCCTCCATGGCTGCATTAGGGAGAACTTTGGCAGCAGGTTGAGGGAGATGGCCCTTCTCCTCTACTCAGAGTTGGTGAGACATCTCAAGTGTTGGGTTCAGTTCTGTGCTACCTACTATGAGATAGATATGGACATACTGGAGTAAGTCTACTGAAGGGCTAGAAAGGTGATTAAGGGATTGGAGCATCTGACATACAAGGGGAAGCTGAGAGAGCTGGGACTGCTCAGTCTGCAGAAGAGAAGGCTCAGGGGAATATATATAAATACCTGATGGGAGGAGTGAAGAAGACGGAGGCAGGCTCTTCTCAACAGTATCCAGTGAAAGGCAAAGAGGCAATGGACACAGATTGAAATATAGGAAATTCCATTTAACCATAAGAAAAAAACTTTTTTACTGTACACTGGAACAGGTCGCCCAGAGAGGATGTAGAGTCTCTATCCTCAGAGGCATTCAAAACCTGACTGGACACAGTCCTGAGCAACCTGCTCTAATTGATCATGCTTTGAGCAAGGGGTTGGTCGAGGTTATCTCCAGACGTCCCTTCTGACCTCAACCCTTCTGTGATTCTCCAGCAGCGCAATGAACAAGAAGTGTGAATAACGCATGACAGTGGCGAGAAGTGTCTTTTCAACTGAGATATCTGCACATCAGGCTGGGATAGGATAACTTTGATAAATCTTCAGGTTTAAGGTATTGCTTGCTCTCCAGCTGTAAAAAAATCAGCAGAAGACAGTGTGTGTCTAATGCCTTAGCTGTTCCCACCATCTGCAGTTTCAGCTTACCAGCAGTTTCTTATGACAGCAAGTGATAAGCTCCAACACAGATGCTCCAACCCACCACCTCTGCTATAGCAAGATGTGTTAACTTGATTGCCCTGTCAGACCATAATGCAACGCAAATAACTGGCTGTGCAGGATAGTTACTAATATCACAGAGAAACAATTTCTTTAATGCTAATATACCAGCACTGTGGAATGATTACTGTCATATACGTTATCTGTCCATGCAGATCAGTCTAGATATATCTAGATAGATCAGTCTGTGAATTATATGTATGCGCTGTACTCAAGTACTATATACAAATAATCCTGAACTACCGATGAGTTATACTATGGTTGTAATGCAAAACTCCAAAGAGTTAAGAAACGCCCAGAATGAAAACTATCTGTGCTACTTTTAGTTTACTGCTATTTTTAAGAAGAATGATATACTTTTAAATAATATGATCACTTGCTATTGTTCTACACAGTCTCTCAGCAGCACTGAGCAGGTAGTTGATTATTTTACATTTCTTTTGTCCTTGTCAACACATGAGGTGCCCAAAGCATCCAAAATGGTCTATCTACCACAGAATTCCTAATTTCCAGATTGTGTTTGTTCCCATTGCTTCCAAGTATTTCAGTACATGAATAGAGATTAGGTGATATTTGAAATTTAATTTACCAGTAAGAATCTGAGGCATGGCTAGCATAATACCAAAATTGTCCTAAGCATCCTCTAATATTGCATGTAAAACTTAAGACTTCTAAAGCACTATTTTCCAGATCATTTTACATTTTATACGTTCAAAACACATGACTACAGCTATAACTGTGAATACACAATGTTTCTGCAAACTATACCTCAGTGATAACATGTGGGGTGCCAAAAAATGACGAACAAAATAGCTCTCAAAGAGAATTTGCTCTCTGGGATAGATCCATTTTGGCTATGGATGCCACACAAAGCAGTTTTCTTGCTGTTAGCCACACTGAGCGTGATGACCTCTTTCATCAGTTATATTCACTACAACCAGCCTTTGAACAAATCAATGAAACAATAGCCTTGTTCATTCCCACAACAGTAGCCATCTAGTGTGCTTCTGCACGTCAAAAGCAAGAGTCTGGTGAAAAAGCTGAACACCTACTTTCAAGGCTCTGAATTAGGATTGTGTTAGCACTGTGTTTTCCAGCTTTTGCATCCTAAATTTTATAACATGAAGGTCATTCTCATGTAGTCATTACAAATAAAATATAGTAACTTGAAAAAAAAAAAAAAAAAGAAAAATTCTGTCCTACAGAATCACATATCTGTGTTGGGCCATTCATTCAGCTGCGTATGTATTGATCCGTACCATGTAAGTCTACTGCATGACTGAATGAGGTTAATTTGTAGCTCAGTAGTCAGTGTAGACCAGGCACTTGAAACAAACTTTGTTGGTACCCAAGGCCACAGCTCATGGATGTAAAATTTCCTTCCTTTACATTTAGGAAAGAAGCATGCGACAGCAGTACTACTGTTTGGCTTCCATGAGGCGATTCTCCTTCTGTCTAACGCAGCCAGGCTGGGGTAGATGGGTGAAGTTTATCATAGTGAGAATCTGGCTCATTGAATTAGTCTTGTAAAGTTAGGTTCAGACCAGGAAAAAAATCAGGTTAGAAAGGACCTAATCCAACCTCCTGTTCAAAGCAGGGTTAGCTATAGAAAGGCTTCAGCTAACATACTTAACCTTGTATTTGCTGAGGACTAAAATTGGCCATATTTTTACTGTTAACTTAATTGTGTGCTTGAGGCATCATTAAATATACCAAGGTCATGCATCCTTCTATGCATGTTCCTCAAAATCACCTGCTCCCAACATTAGGAATTTGCAAAAATGAAGAAATTTGCCAGGTACCTGCCCTCTTCTGCAGCCAGTAGCTTCTGGGAATCTTTCTAATAAAGCGCATGTCTTCGGAACACTTTTACAAGCATTCTCATTTTTTCTTCCTGGTGAAAATAATGGATAGAGCATTGGTAAGATCAATGAATGAACATTTCCTTGTTTTCTGCCTTGCAGAAGATCAACAAAACTGTCAAAGAGCTGACACTGAAAGAGAGGTGTCTATTACTATTCCCATTTTACCGATTATGAAACAGATTTATTAACACATTGTAATATCAGAGCAGTCTGCAACATCTTTGCTTTTAAATTATTTGTGAAGAGCAGGGTTTCTACTATTTTTAAAATATGATTCTAAAAGTATAATCATTAATGAGGCTTCATAAAAAAAAAAAAAGATGAAAAATGTCACCAACATCACACCATTTCAGCACCTGATTATATTTTGATACAAGCTGCTTTGAATATTTTATTTTACAGTATTCTTTCACATGCAGAGTCTTATAAGAATTTAAGGTAATTCCAACAGTTGGGCCTCCCACTGCAGAGCTCAGGGACAGGGCGCTCATACCATTTCTGAATGATAGATCTCACCTAGCTGACAACATAATATTGAGGATGTGCCTTCTCCGCGTTTCTGTCTTCCCTCAGGCTGATCTGTACTATGCATTACCATGCAAAATGTTGGCAGCCTTGCCAGAAGAGGAGTATTACCCTCAAGGAATTCTTAGAAGTGCTTGGGGACAACATGCTTTAGAATAAAGAGCCCTTGTTCACTGTTGCAGGGGTCCTAGACACTATTTTATTAGCTCCCTTCTTCTACAGATTCAGTAATTACAAAAACAGTTCTGGAAAAAACTGTGTTGCTACTCCTTATTACACTATATTAATCTGAGAAAGTGAAATTGGAGAAGGAGAAGAAATACCAAATGTTTTACCTTGTTGCCATAAGGTAAACTGGCTCCAGTCTCCTTTTTCTCGTAGATTCTCATCTTCAGGCAGGAAGAGGCTTCTTTTTTTATCCATCACAGCAAGCCCCTCATCCCGAATGAGCTTCCAGTTTTTTTCTAAGGACTGTTTAGAGAGCCATGTTACCACACTGAGAACTTACTGTGTTTGGCTTTAGTACTGTTTTTATTTTTCCCTGCCATTGTTAACTTTTTTTTTTTTTTTAATTTAAAAGCACTAAAAAAGTGTTCATCATCATTATAAAGTTTCTTTGCATTCAATTCCCTTCTGACATGTTAAGGCAGGAAAAACAACTTTCACAGCATTCCTCAGATTCAATTACATTGGGATCATAAAATTTCAATAATCCCCAGCCTCTCTGCAGGCTAGGCCTCACTTTGACTTTCTTTTTGATTAGCCTAAGGGCTCTTTAACAGATCATTTTGTACTGCTGGCTAGGAATAGTATTAATCTTCTCAAAGACAGCACATGCTACCTGGAAGCACTCTTGCGACTAGAAAACCACTCGCACAACCTGGAACTCCAGGCGCTGGCAGAACATCATGATTCAAAGAGTACAAATGTAAACAGGCCACTTAAGTTGACAGTTATGATTTAAACCCTCAAAAAGGTTTGCAAAGATTCACTTGCACATGCTGATGCTACTGAAAAAGATCAAATATGACTTGAAATGCCAGGTGATGATTTATGAACACAACCATTAAAAATGTGTAAGCTGCTTGTACTTCATACATACCAAAACCACAAGACTGTAGAATTAAAAATTCTGTTCTCTGCTGCCTTAGGACATTATATTTGTAAAAATCAGATAGATCAGAAAACCTTTTATTCTACCAATAAGTCATTTTAATGTTACAGCAATATAAATGAAAAACCCACAGCATAACAATGGGCTTGGATAAAAGTGACTTCCATTTCCCAGCTACTTACTTTACTCCCTAAACCTTATTTTTGGTGAATAGTTTTCATTTTTCCTTTGTGCTGTTGAACAAAGCATTTCTGTAAGACATTTTCAATCAATTTCATACTGAAAATAGGCTAAGGTGTGTTCCCACACTGCCTTTTTATATGATGTGTAAAGCTAAGTAAAACTCAAAAGTCTGTGAGACTAGGTGACATAACTGCCCCTTTTTAGCCTTAAAACTCAATATGGTTATTAGCCTTCCCCATTTAAATTAAACAGTTGCATTTTCCACTTGAGTTTTTTCAATTAAAAGACAAGCTGATCACACAAAATAGGTTGTAAGTTGATATACCATGAAAGGCTCAGCAAGCCATGGCTAGAACATGCTCTCTATAATACAGTGACTTTCTCCTATTAGAACATTCTCATGTAGGCTAAGACCTATTAAAATTAGGATTGCACTTCTGTTATTACAGTACTCCCTTCTTCTTCCTAGCAAATTGTGTTCTCTCATATCCATCAGTAAAGGGGAAGAGCACTTATTTTTTCTGGTGCATTCACCTTATTCTCATCCACTGATGGGTTTCCATAACACTTGTTTAACAGTTAACATCAAGTAGAAATGTTTCTTAGAGTATCTTTGGAAAACTGACTTCTCCAAAATGCAGAGTACAAAACAAGACTGAAAATTTCCACCTGATCAGAGATGAATATAGGAACAGTGCTGGTACTGATTCAGCCCTACCGTATCTACAAAAGGAAATACCAGCGCGAGTACCTGATTTTGCACTGGCTGGAGAAGAGAAAGAAAACAATAACTTACATTTACACAGGCCTCAAATTAAATTGGCACAGATCAACAAAACTGGAAAACTTTAAAAGATATTACAAGTGCTTCTCTGTTTCCCCAAACTCCTCCTACTCCCTTGTCTGAAAAACAGTAAGAGGGAGCATTCATCCATGCAGACAAGATGATGCATGAAGAGCACTGGTGCTCCAAGGAGCTGCAGGCAACAGCTGCTTTCTCACCTCTAATCCTTCAAAAGTGCCACAGGCTGAAAGTTAACCTCCAAAGGTGCGTGTTTGTCCTTGCCTTTTAAGACTCCTTCCCTAACATGTTGGATATGAAGTGATTTGAATACATATCATTGATTTTGAACTAGCTCCTCAATGGTTTTAGATATAACTTGCACTGAAATCAACAGTGCGTCTATACTCCTATGGAAGACACTGACAGTGCTTTACTATGAGTAATAGGCAACTCCTAGGTAGGAAGGAAGCAGAGAGTTGAAGGAGTTCAAACACAGCTCAGCCTTGATCTCCTTGATTTTACAGACTCTTAGGCGTACCTTGAATGGTAAGAATGCATAACACCATTAAAACATAATGACTAAGTCCAGCACTTGGACTTAAGGCTCTTGATCCAAGAGGTAGTATCTACAGAAAAAAGCTAAATATGCTTATGCTCCATAATATGTAGGGATTCAAGCCTCAGGTTAGAGCAACAAATTCATTTTATATTTGGTGCAATATCCTGGTTTCAAGTGAAGAATCAGGTGGCAAACAGCATTGGGAGCATATGTACTTGTTTCCTAGCAGCTGATTCCCATAAACCTCCATATGGCTTTTTAAATACAGTTCCTAACAATAATGGAAGTTTACAGTTGCTTTACATCTGGCAATAGTGTAGATTTTATTGGCAAAGACGTTACTATATTTAAATAGGGATTTCTTAATATCAGTTTATTTTTTTGTGTGACTATTATATTAAAAGAATCCTTACTCTGTGCTGTCAAACCCTTTCAAATGCATGGTCATAAATGACACAGGCAGAGATTAAGAGGTTACTGCCCCTCATGTGAGGCATAACTACTGACCACATGTCCATTTTAATCCACTGGACTATAAAATAAAATCATGGTGAAGACTTCAATCTATTTCATTTTGTTACTGAAACAGAATAGGAGAGTATTCACGACCAGTTACTGTGTCTCTGCTGGGGAACGCTGAGGACCTCCAAGTAAGGGGCAATATTTTAAACCTTTCAAAATAGATTTCTTGCACCCATTCAGTCACTCAGAGTGCTTGAACATCAGCATGTGTATGCATCATCTCTGCTCTTTTCAACACTAGGCTCCCCTTAAAGGATCCAGCCACACATTAAATGCATATTTCAATTTAATTTCTCCATTAAATGTGAATGTTTCACTATTATTAGCTAAACCATTAAGCCCTAGCTGTCACTCTACAGAAAACATTATGGATATGTGCTGTTGCCAGTACTTTCATTCTCTTTCTGTGCTTTTCTTGCTGCACTTTAAACTTTTAATTAATAAAATCTAAGCCATCAGAGAAAACTGACAATACAAGATCTACTTTAATCAGTCAGCTATTCACTGTAGTACATTATTGGCAAAGCATCCTCTGGGTCCTTTCCAAAAGTCAACGGACACAACATGAGGAAAAGACAAAGTTACCTAGGTCGTTACCTATGTATTAGTTTCAGAGTGGTGAAAAGTCTCTAGGATCCAATAGCATTGTACCTCTTTTATTATTTTTTTAAACAAGGACCAAAATAGAAAAATAATGCTATACGGAGATTCTACAAAAGGTACCAGAGAATGACAAAATGACTCAGTAACATCGCAGTGACAATGACTCAGTGACTTCAATCCATGGGAAGCTAATTGCCCCAAGGGAGGAGGACAGGTTGTCAAAGATAAAAGTAAGGTTTCCTTTTAGCTGAGCTCAAACAAGAAAGAAAGAGTTTCTTGAATCTCCAAATCCAAAAGGCCTGAAATACTGTAGATCAGAAACATTAACAGAACATTACTACATAAATCACTTGACACACTTTTCCTAATTTAAAGGCTTGTTTTCTGCTCCCTGAGAAATCAGGTGCACCTTCCTATTCTTTCAAGGAAACTACAAAAAACTTAAGCATTAATGGGCAGCAGCTAAAAGATGCAAAGATCCACTTCCCTTCAGCACAGCAGCACTAACTAGGATTTACCACTGTAATACACGTCCCGTTAAATGTTATTGAGACATTCTCAGTCTTTTTCTTTTTTTAAAGAAACTAAAAAAACCCCTCTTCCTTAAGACATCCAGGCAAGTAGGTAATAGTGAAGTAAATAAAGTATGAAATTGCCTTTAATCTTACCCATCAGGCAGTTAAACATCAGGCCTAAATTAGTTGTCTAGGCTTCTTTTTTTAGTAAAGCAGTAGCAAAGTTAACATCAGAAAGGGAGACATGCCATCCTTAGATAGTTATTTAGCATAGTAAAAATTAATCATTCTCTGGAAATACTTTTTTGACCTGTAAACTAGACCACTAGCATGAACAATATGCCTCGTGTCTGTATGGCTACAGTTAGGTAAGCTGAATGCCCCTCAGAAGGAATGTATTAAACTGGAAATACCAAAAAAAGATATTTTTTTCTTCAGGTTTTCTGTGGAAAAAGCAAGGCACTGTCCAAATTCACATATCCATCTCCAATCCCAAGAAACCACATGACCCTTTATAACAAAATCAAGCCAGGTCTGTGTTATGCTACTGACCAAAGCTGTGCTGGTTAGTAGAATGAACCAGAAAGAGCTGCCAGTATGGCTTTAGCACTGTCTCAGCCACAAATGAATCCTCAGTTAGCATTGTTAAGCTACCAAGATATTGAAAATAGCTTGTTCACGTTTAACAACAAGTGGTGAAACACAGGGAGAGAGGGTCAGGGCCTCTGGTGCTTTGCCCTTCATACAGCAGTTTTCCATGTCAAATTCTATCACTGGGATTTGGTAGCATTTCCCACACATCCCACACAGATGTAAGAGGAACGTAATGAGATGAAGTAGGAAGAAAGAACTGCTGATTGGTTTTTGCTTTGTGGAATGGGGAAATAATTTTTTTTTTAACTAAAACACGTATAGAAGTTGGAATATTTCAGAAATTAATAAAACCAATGTCTTCAATATTTTTTTTGCCACCTTCTGGAGAATACTACTTCAAATTTTGCTTGCAGCATCGTATGTTATTAGAATCAAGCCTGCTTTCTTTCAAAACTTCAAGTACTTTCTTGAGTTATGGGGGAAACACAACAATACAAATATTTTTCCTGAAGCATTTAACTTATATTTTGGGTTTATACTTTCAACTGTGAACGTTATCTTGAAGAATGTAAATCTTGCCACCCCCAAACTGTGATACCTAGGTAAGTAAATTAGCAGTCACAATTTAGCCCAGATTCAATAGAATCATAGAATCACAGAATCATAGAATCATTTAGGTTGGAAAAGACCTTTAAGATCATCAAGTCCAACCGTTAATCTAACACTGCCAAGTCCACCACTAAACCATGTCCCTAAGCTCCACATTTACCCGTCTTTTAAATACCTCCAGGGATGGGGACTCAACTACTTCCCTGGGCAGCCTGTTCCAGTGCTTGATAACCCTTTTGGTGAAGAAATTTTTCCTAATATCCAATCTAAACTTCCCCTGGCGCAGCTTGAGGCCATTTCCTCTCGTCCTATCACTTGCTACTTGGGAGAAGAGATTGACTCTCATCTCGCTACAACCTCCTTTCAGGTAGTTGTAGAGAGCGATGACATATTGCTAATAAAACAGCTAAAAAATATACCACAAAATGACTGGATTGAAGAGGTATGAGTAGATTTCAGAGAGGCAGTTGTGCTGTGGAGATCAGGGGTGAATTTCTATCCTTGTCAGTCTTCTGAATGGCTCTTCTAGGAGCCACGCAAGATGCTGATCCAAACCAAGACCTCCATATATGGTCTGATCCATTTGAAAAAATCCCTTCAAGGTGGAGCCCTGGCCATTTTATAACAGGAAACTGAATTCTTTCATCATTCAAAGATGACTTGTCTCCTCACGCCAAGGGTGAAGGGACCATTACCTTCTGTGACTCCTGAATTTGAATGGTTTACATGTAAGAGACTGTAAAACACCACTGCAGATAGCTCTAAAACATCAATAAAATAATATATATTATTTCGTTTTTGTTTGGCAAAAGTATGGTACAAAGTTCCCAGTTTTTCCAATGCGTTTATGGCAGGGATTGTCTATTCCTACACATTCCTCAGGAACGAGTTCAATACAAGCATATTTCAAATCTTCCCAAATGCTAGTCCATAAAGCTAATTGCTTTTTTTGTGTGACTGAGATTACATTGGAGAATCATACTTTAATTTAAATTTCCTAGCCTTATTTATGCTGCCATCAAAAGCATAACAAGGAGTAATCTTCCTTTTTTCTTTCTTTCCTTTTCTTTTTTTTAAATATAATCACCTTTTCATAGTAGGTTTTTTAACACATTATGTAACTAAATGTAATGAAACAACCACTTTGAAGGAACCCATCTCTTGCAAATACACATTTATGTTTTTAAATTATTTGTGCAGAATAATTTTGCTAAACCACATACCAATAGCTAAAACATACAGGGAAAAAAAGGTTCTTCCCTCTGCCCCCCTTTTTTTTTTAGGAATTATGATTAAAATTATTAAAATAATAAAAATTATGCTATTTTGGAACCACAAACTATTATTACGAATAATAACCAGACTACTTGCCTTGCATTAAAAAGAACTTCGAAGAATTTAAATTCTGTGTTGTTATCTTTTGCTAAATCTATCACTGGGAGTCTACACTTGTTTCTCTTATGCAATTTAAAGCTTCCAAAGAACTCACCAAATATTACACGAGGGATGAAGGACACAGCCTTTCCTGACTAATTAAAAATTCACAATGGGTGTCCCAGACATTACCAAACTTTGCTGTGATTTTACACTTGAGACATTACGGTTGTCTACCATGCAAATTTTGTATTTATTAATCATTTCAGCCATCCTCTCCCCATTCTCAATTTTGAAAATGCCTGAACTCATTTTATAGTATCTTAGTTAAACCTTGTGCTCAGTCTGAGACTGGTATTTGGTACTCACAGGCAGTGATTCAGACTTCATAGATTAGAATTTTCTCTGTTTAATACCTTAGATTATAGTTGTTATTAAAAATAATAAAGTCAAAGTATAGAGAAACAAACTGCCTTACCTTCACCAGTTCCGTATAACCAGTTTCTCTTGCTGTCCACCAAGGTTGAGCTTTCAGTCCCTTGACGTTGTAGAGGGAGCGCTGCCAAACTGATGCAAAGTGACCTCTTTGGTATCCAAGTTCATACCACTTGTATGCCTAAAAGATCACAGTTCTTAACAACCAAATTCATATCAGCTAAGCTCCCACAGAAAAAAAGTAACTTATCCTTTTTTCGGTAAGGTAACAGACTGTCTCTTTGGATGCCGGGGTTATTCTACTAATGTAATGTAGTAACGAACACTTCAAGGAAAAGAAAACAAACAAACCCAAAATCTCCAACTAACAATCCCAAAATAGATCAGTCAGCCAAGGCTGTCCAATCCAACATTAGCAAAACAGGATAATCTTCTCACAACCATTCAGACCAAATATGGGTCAGTAATCTAGGCGCTGTCCTTGGACTTGGGAGATCCAATTGTTTGTCATCTTGGTCAACCTTATTTTCTCTCTGTTTCAATTCTCTACCTATGAATTAAAGATGACTGCATTCTGTTGCCAATGGAGATGCTGTGATGATGAAAACAGTGCTGACTTTATGGATCTAAATTGTTACATAATTAACTAATACATACATGTACTTGAGTTTCTTCAAATATTTGTTGCCACACCAGAATACAGCTGATGCTACTAATTTTTCTTGTCCCTTCCCTTTATTTCACAAACCTATTGAGGCTAATACCAGACCTTTGTTTGTCTTACTCTCCCTTTCCACAACTTGCTTTACAACTGTATAGCAGCAAAACAAGGTCCTGCAAAGGAAGAAAATGGGACGCTTGGAAAGAAAAGATCCAGCATGAGTAGCACTGTGATGAACCATATACAGAGAAGGCTACATATAGCTGCCTCCTTCCTGTCCAGCATTGCTGCTACAGCTGCAATATTTCAGACAATACAAAAAAAACCCAGATATGACAGGACAGCTAAGTAGGGAGACATGAGGTAAGAAGTCCAGAGCAGAAGGAATGAGGCAGGTAGCAATCCCTGCCTTGAACAGAAACCATCCAAAAACCTCTTTACTTGGAGTCATACACAGAGTCCCTCTCTAGCCACACTGCTTGAAATTCGGTCCCTCCCAAGCCTGCAACCTATCTAATTCACCTCTGCCTAAGCATCACTCATCCAAACTTGGACCATGTTCTCATGCTCCTTCACCCAACCTGATATTTATTCTTATCTCACTCTACATAACACAGCCTATAATTTCACCCTTGCGGTTCCAGTTAACAATACTCCCTCTATACCTCACCATTAGCCGCCTTCTCTGGTTGTACCCACCTCCTCACCAAGTTCTTCTCAAAAACAAAACAAAACAAAAAAACCCAAACCCTCCACTTTTCTTTCCAGTAGGTGTATGGAAAATCCGGTGTGCTGGTTTTGGTTGGGATACAGTTAATTTTCTTCATAGTAGATAGCATGAGGCTGTGTTTTGGATTTGTGCTGAAAACAGTGTTGATAATACAGGGATGTTTTTGTTACTGCTGAGCAGTGCTTACAGAGTCAAGGCCTTTTCTGCTTCTCACCCCACCCCACCAGCGAGTAGGCTGGGGGTGCACAAGAAGCTGGGAGGGGACACAGCTGGAACAGCTGACCCCAACTGGCCAAAGGGCTATTCCATACCATATGATGTCATGCTCAGCATATAAAGCTGGGGGAAAACGAAGGAAGGGGGGAGCGTTCAGAGTTATGGTGTTTGTCTTCCCAAGTAACCACTACACATAATGGAGCCCTGCTTTCCTGGAGATGGCTGAACACCTGCCTGCTGATGGGAAGTAGTGAATGAATTCCTTCTTTTGCTTTGCTTGCATGTGTGGCTTTTGCTTTACCTATTAAACTGTCCTTATCTCAACCCACGAGTTTTCTCACTTCTACCCTTCCGATTCTCTCCCCCATCCCAGCGGGGGTGAGTGAGCGAGCGGCTGCGTGGTGCTTAGTTGCAGGCTGGGGTTAAACCATGACATCTGGACAAGATGAACACTGTCCCCAGTCGCATTCTGGTATGGTAGTTTCCCTGCATGACTAACTATTTTAATTGCTATTTGTTTTTCAAAGACAATAATTTCTCCTATTCTAACTCATGAGCATATGACAGTTGTCCATTAACCTGCCCACATTTGACATGAAGGCTAAAACAAAAGACTTAGAGACAAAGACCACAGTACTAACTCTTTTTATGTATAGGGTCTAATGGAAAGCGAAACATACAATCAAATAAATGCATCTCTAGGAGAACAATTCATGTCAGCTTATTATTTATGTTTACCTTGAAGCCAGTAAACTAGAAGGAAAAACAAAACTTTTTTCCATACAAATCAGCCACGAGAACACTGTGTGACTTACTAAGACTTACTTAGTCTTAGCAGTCAGTCAGCCAGTCAAGAAAACAAAGAGCTATTGGAAATTCTTCATGTAATGGATTATTTCTAAAAACTTCCAGATGTTATCTTAGAGATCTCTTATTTCAGATATAAGGTAACAAATAACTTCGGGTGGTTTTGTCTTCAAATTTTTACATAAGTCTCTATATTGTAACCATAGATTATTTTTTGAGGGTCTGTAAATTTTCTTCAAGCTTTTAAAAAATGTGGTCCTCTGATCTTTATAACTCTCTTGAAGTATGGACGAAAGGCCACAATAGAATGTTGTCGTACAGTATTTATCTGAAGTACAGAAAAACAGTGTGGATGAACGGAATAACAGCAGACCATATATAACCCTTCATCTTTTTTCCCTAGAGAAGCTTTGTAAAATTGTGTATGGGTTTAAAAAAAAAAAATTATTACCTTTGGGTAATACACAGTATATCTTTACATTTTGATGTTATCTTGGTTAAGTCTCTGAAATGGAAACATTATGATTTATAACGTATGTTTCCCAAGATGTAAGTTGTAATAGCAGTGAGATATCAATAGATTGTTCATGCTGACTGCCTGCATTCATTTGCACTGTCTGGAGTTAGCCCAAATGATAAGGGGAACGAATCACTCGTTTCAGCCACTGACTGATGAGTATGAATGTTGCTGCTCTTTAAGATCCATCAGCTATAATCACGATGTATAATACTATTAATCCTTTTCTATTAGAAGAATGGTGCTATGAGGTTGCCTTTGACAGCATGGAGTAGGGTTAGGTTGCCTCACTCATCCTTTCCAGTCCTGAGTTTCCATGAGAAATCTTTCTTTTCGCATGCAGATCTTGGCAGTGGAAAGACTAAATAATGACCACTGTACTATTCAGGACAGCTACAACAGTATAGCTTCTTCTCCAGGGAAGTAATTGTTTGAGATGCACTCAGTTAATAAATTCTGTGTGAACAGCACTTTGTTCTATAATACCTTCCACAGTTCTAATTTATCTTTTTTTACGTCAATTTGGCATTTTATCAAATTATGGTTGGAAAGGGCATACTCAACACTGTTTCCCTAACACTTACCAAGACCACATTCATAATTCCTAATTTAGCTCTAATAGATGAATATCTACCTTCAACAAACCTTCAGTAATGGCAATTTCACATGTTCCTTAAATATTGATCTGTTTCCTTGATTAAATCTTGAAGTTCAGCAAGTCTAGCAAGGTCAGTGAGAAAAATTTAGCTTAATAGTGGACTTTCCACTGATAAATTTAAAAGTGTTCTCTATGCCAAGAAGTTCATTTGTCATTGATTACAACTTTTTCTACAGCAGATTTGACCATTAACTCCATAAACATTAACACGTAATTATCCTGGGAATTGGGATGATATACATTAATTAGATCTGTGTGGTATCTTTAGTCAAACATTGTAAGGGGATGCTCTAGGCTCAATCATTCAACCCAGAATATCCCATGGAAGCATACAGGGATTTCCTTTTTCATTTTCTGTTGAGAGAAGGACAGAAAGAGTCAGACAGACAGACAGCACACGTGCAAGCAGATGCTGTGTGTGTTTACACACATGCACGTGTGTGTGTTTACACACATGCACGTGTGTGTGTTTCTGTATAGAATGAGGCCAACTAATTCTCACTTGTAAATGAACTTTTAAATTCAAAGAAACTTAACTGGAAGAATATTTTATTGTACTTTCAGAGAGGGTAATCTAACTTTAAAAATACAGATATTATTACATTTCAATGTATGTATAAGGTATTGTAATGAGAGTTCCACATTTTATAAAAAAAGAGAATTAACCTGATGAACTACGCTTAAGAAAGATCACTAACATAGGCTTCATTATAGTCCACCTCTCTATAGCTCATATTGGAGAACTGCCTACCAACTGGGCCAAGATACTCGAGAGGTCAGCATTCTTTACAGTATTTTACGTATCAATATTTCAGACCTATTACTAGATAACTGATTAAAAAGCAGTTCCGCTATGCTTTTTTATTCCTATTCTTTTCACATTTCCCATCCAAGAACTTGAGTAGGGTTTTTTAGTTTGTTTTTTTTGTTTGTTTTTAAATTCATGCCCATAGTAAAGTTCATTACTAATAAGTCTTCAACAAAAGCCCTTTGCTCCCCTACCATGGCAACAGTGCTAATTCACACATTTAAATTTGGCTTTTACATGAAATTTGGTTTTAAATTACAAATTGGAAACTCATGTTTTTCAGTTGCATATGTTTGCTTTCGTTGGGCATGCAACAGATTTGTTGCACAAATCTCTGCTTTTCTGATCTGTTTGCTACTGTAATTATTGAAAAAATACCATAACTCAGACCACACATTCAGTCCTCTCATGGTCGTCTTTTATCACATACTCATTGGTGCTCAGTCACTTTGGGAAAGAAGTGAGGTTTACAAAACACTCTTATATCAGAGCTATGAAAACTTCTATACAGTGATATACATTTAATTGTTTTTTTTTTTTTTAACTCTGGTTAAAATCTTTGTTGTAAGTGGTAGGAGCAGAAAACAGACTAAAAACACCTTGATTGAATTTTTGAAAAATGTTTGGTGCCTCAGTTCAAAACTGCCCCATGTAAGCTTCAAAAGTTTAGGTTAATTCTAAAGCAAGGGATGCTAAGAGATTGCATTGTCACACCAATGGCAGATTTTTTGCTTTTGCTCATCTTGACCTCTACACACATATGCTGGATTGTTATTGCAAGAGGACTACTCGTGTTTTCAACATTGAGCCCGTGATTAGAAGTTTTTCTGGATTCTGAAGTCCCTCAGAGGTTTAGACTTTAAAGCAAGAATATGTTAAATGCGTACCTCTTTGTCCCCCATTCTCTGCAAGGCATCACCCAGATGAAAATAAAAGCGTCCGTCATTTGTGCCGGGGTCACCAGACTCTAGTCCTTCCTAAAAACAAACAAAAAAAGTATCAGACAAACTTCAGTAGGAGTTCATTTGATTGTTGTAAATAGGCTGCCAATTACTATGCGAGAGACGGGCTATGAAATTGGCTGTAAAATACAACCACTATGGTAACCTGGAACTTTGGTTGAATGAATACAATACTTCAGTAAAAAAACATTGAGAAATGTTATCAGTTTTCCAAATGCCATGGCCTCTCCCCTCAGTCCCTCCAAGACAGAGGTGTATTCAGAGATGGACACTTGCTCCTGACCCTATATACATATACACAAGCATTTTAGAAAGCTGGATTAAGGTTTTATTTTGTCGTATTTCTTCCCAAACACTCAGAATTATACACAAGCCCTCTCTGGATTTTTCAAGAACCTTAAGTTTTCAGCATACTGCCAAACTCATAACAATTTGAGACTCACAGCTGTGTACTTCGGGTTAACTACTAATAAAACAAATACTTGATGTTTAAGAATTGATGAGTCTCAATGTACCAGCTTGTTCCAGTTCATAGGCAGTGATATAGCAATATAACTCCAACATGTAGCTTAAACTGTGATTTGTGATTAGCATGCTTCTACCTTGACATGTTTTATACATTCCAGTTTTATTTTTTACAGGTAGAATATTTACTGTAGGTGAGAAAAGAAAAATACCTTTAGATAGGGTATGCTCTCTGCTATCTTGTTTTCTGCCTTCAGGATGAAGCCATAATGCACTTTGGCAAAACCATCATTTGGAGCCAGGCTTAGAACCTGTTTGAGAGCAAATGTATGAAATACTCATGTATGGATCTATGCAAATTAACAAACCTGTGCACATATTACTATTTAGTGATGCAATGACATTTTCTTTCATCACTGACTCTCAGATAAATTCTTGGTTTGGCTGTACTTTCTTTTGTGCCTCTCCAGAAAAATCTATTGCAAGCCACACTTTAAAGTCTCAGATGTAAAATTATTCCAACTGGAATCTCTGAATTGCATTATTATTTTGTTGTCCATCTTTCTCCGCCCTCTCTCTTGAGCTACAGCATGCTCCATTACAGAATTAACACCATTCATTAACACTTAAGTTACCTATCCCAGGTCTGACTAATCTGAAGGAAAGCAGCTGCTTTTGAACAAGGCTACAGCACATTCACGGGAAGCGCAGTGTAGAAATATACCTGAAATAGTTTCAAATTAGATAGATTTATACGGGCGGCAAACTAGTCTCGGCAAGAGAAAATAGACTACCCTGCAAAGCACAGTGAGTACAATTTAGAAAGATGCTGTGAAATAATGGTTGCATCACGTGATGGGACTGCAGAAACCCTGGGAACACAAAGGGCATTCTCAGCACGACAGTGAACTGGAGCATGCTCTGGAAGAGCTTACTCTTACTTGGCCAAGAGAAAGCTATCAGATGGTAATGCAAGGTCTAATGCAGTAGTGATTCAACGTGCTTTCACGCTAGAAGGTGATGGATAAATTATTCTTGTATAGTTGTGTGCTGCACTCTTTGACCAAGACCATGACCTAGTGTGCTGAATTAAGCTAAAAGATTTTCGTATCCTGAACAAGATTCAGATAACGTCTGAGTTATAACCTGACTTAATTTTGCAGGAAAGGAAAACCCACAGGCAAATATCCAGAGATGGATATTTCATGGGGACTGCGCAAGAGAAAGATTTGTGAATACAGGGACAGCTGTAGGAAAGGATCACTGTACGGGGGAGTGTTTCAGCGAAAGGGAGTGTGAAGCTGGCTGGCTTGCGTTCTGAAACATGTACCCCCAACATTACTGAGATAATTTAAGTGCATTTGGTCTGCCTCAGCCAAGGGGAAAATTAGAGAATGTCTTGATCTACTTTCCAGCACCACATTTCTATGATTTATATATTCAATATCATCTGTAGCTCTACGCGATATCAATTATATGATCAAGTTAATCTGTTGTTACACCTCTTCTCTCCTTAAAATAAGGATGGACAGTCTTATCAGGAGAGATCCTCAGTCTGTGAGGATCATAAGTGCCTGGGAGTCAGTGGAATTACCAAGGCTGACACCTGCTGAATATCTAGCACAGTCACTAAATACAAAACAATGGACGGATGAGCAATTTCCCTTGCCTAAATCCATTTTTGAAGCTACTAAACTTATGCCATGAATAAAATGTCTGCATACATTATAGCCATTTCCCTCTGCCTTTTTGCAGTCACTGTCTAACCTAATTTTTCAATCAAAATAATTACAAGCCAAACCATAACAAGTCCTCTGGGCCAATTTCTCTGCTTTCTCAAATCTTATTACATACAAACTACATCTGAGCAAAACCAAAATCAGTGCAATGTGGGTATAAAATGTTATGAGTTAAAAATAGCAGCATTTCACTTCTTTGTGCAGAAAATAGCTACTATGAAGGAACAATCACTTTGAGAATCTGTCTGAAGTCCATAACATGACACATTATTAACAAAAAGTGAACCTGGTAATTCATAGTCAGGATGAGCTTGATCCCTAGTTAAGAATATGCTACCACCTTATGCAATTTATGCTTTTGGCCACAGCACTCTGAGTATAATCATTTTGGTCCAAGAACCTGTCCCTGCAGGGTGAAATAAAATGACTGACAGAAATATTTATTAGCCATATAATTTCGTTACAGTTCCTTTAACTACAGGATAAAGCTATCTGATTAGTTAAGACAGAATAGAATTTTCTGTATTACAGTTCATTTAAACTATGCTGAGTTGCATTAAGGCATGATCTACATTCAGAGCCCCTAAAGAGAAGCGAAGAGATACAATCAGCAGAAATTACACTGCAAGTATTTAATGTAAATTGTATTACTCTGTTGCTGTTGCTGCGTGCAATATTAATTATGTTTAGAAACAAGTTTTACTAAACTGCTCATAGCCTATTAAATATTAATCATGAATATAGAAATTAACCTCTGGGGCTATCAATAGCTAATTAGCCAGGGCAGAGGACTGTGTTAATGTGGATATTCTGCTTTTGGTACCTGAGATAGCTCAATCAGAGCTGGCTTATGCGTGTCTGTGTAATGCTGCACTGAGCCATGCAGACAGGCCTCAGCATGGCGGGCAGAAAAAGTGCTATTAGCAGAGTAACTGGTCTTATAAAGTCCTCTTCCACTGTATTTTACCATAATCTGTAGATCTTTGAAAACAAAAACAGCTCTAAATTCTACTAGGACTACTTTTAATGTTATGTTTCCATGTCCCTAAGTGTAATGTTCAAAAGCAAATGCTTTAACATTAGAGGCAAAACTGAAATCCTCTCCAATTGGACACCATTTTCCATTTGTGGTTCAGCACAAAGCCTGGCAAATGCATATTAGAAAAGTGTATTTTGTGTCAGTTAGACTATACCACACTACAGCTCTAAGTACCAAACTCTTGATCTGAAGTTCAGTGTTTATACACATCGCTTCTGTAGCTAAAAGAAGAAACATATCATATTTAAGACTTTTGAAATAAAAATGGGAGTATAACACTTCAACAGCTGCTAAGACACATCAAATTTGGAATGGAAAATAAGAATTGAATGGAAAATTACAAGTAAACTGGCTATTAAATGTAAAGCAGGAAGTTTTCATTCACTAGGATTCCTTGGGCATCTATTCAATTTCTTGGAGAGATGATGCCAGCTACAGTTAGTCTGGTCTGAAATGGCATATACTGTAATCCCAATGTAGGGGACAGTGCCTGTGAAGGGTCCAGCTGGTCCAGGCGCGTGCTCAGCCCATGCCTAACACAGACTGATAACACTGAATTAAGATCAAACTGTTATAGCAGGAAGCAAAGGAGGACATGGGTACCTTTTGCCCAAGAATCTAGCAGATTCCCAGGATATGGGAAATTTGGAGTCTAGATTGTCCTGCACAGAAGAGTGTTCAACTACTTGGGAACTTGCCTGAGGAGCAGAAACAAGTACCATGTACACAAGTAGTTAGACAGCCATGAAGAAAAGAATGGGACCCAGAGGGGAATCAGAAAGAAGCTGAGCCTTCAGTCAAACAAGGGGTACGTGCTCTTGAGGATGAGTCCTGAGGTCTCTTCTCTCTTCCTAGGTGCCCATGTCTTCCGCATTAGAGAACACTTGAATAAAATGTATGAAAAACCATGAACAACCTTACAGTGGGAACCAGAACCGAGGATTCGTAAATATTGGAGGCATCTACTGTGCAGCACTGAGTTCATGCTCTTGTCTGTGGTCTTATGTTTTCCATCAAATGACTAATTTGTCCTACACTAGCGAGAAGGAGGATTTAATCATAATACAGAAGTTTCCCAGGTTTCTCAAAAATCATGGGAAGAGTAAGACGTCTCCTGAAGGCTCCCAGAACTACTCTTCACAGTTTGCCCCACTCTTTATTGACTATACACAGAGCCTGAGCACCTACGGTAGGAGCTCCAAACCATATGGCAATCACTTTCTAAATATGCATTGCAACAGCTGAGCGAAGCACTCGAGCAGACCATATGGCCCCTAAGTGATCTGCCCAAAATCATGTAAGAAGCCTTCAGTATCACCAAAAATAAAAGCAAGTACACGTGATGTTCTGCCTGTTCCTTGGGCTATATTTCCTTTCTTAAAATTCTTATGTAAATTCATCTTGAATTACAACAAAGAAAAAAAAATTACATTAATGCATTGGAATTCAACCTGAGGAATAGCCAGAATATGGACAAAATCCACATGATTTTTAAAAAAGAATAAATCCAGCTCCTTTTAAAAGGTATTTATTTGTTGCTCTTTTACAAGGACAGAACTTCAGTATCTATTTCAGTGTTTAGTGAACTGCAAAACAGAGTAATTATGCTGAATAAAGGCTATGGAAGCATGGAAAATAATATATTAAAAGCAGACTTGTTCTTATTTTGCATATCTGTTCTTAATCAGAGCAGTATACACTTCTGAAGTATATCAAACTCAATATCAAAGTAATTATATAGCAAACTCATTACCTTCTTCCATTTATAAAAAATCCTGTAATTATTGATATTGAGAAATTCTAACATCTATATTGTTTGCAGCAAAATACTGAAAAATTGCAAAGGAAAATCTTGCCCCAAAAGAGTATGGTTTTGTTTCTTCAAGTTCCTTGCAGCTTGCGAAGCAGGTTCAGTTAATACATTCTATCTTTAAAAGCTGATGTTTCCAATCCTCTGAGAAATTTTGACAGCAGGCCAAAAATTATTGAACAGAAATGTTTTATGGAGGGGCCTACAAAGCAGCCAAAGTAGCAAAGCAAACATTATTCTGGCAACATCTGAGACTGCCAGAGAAGCTTGAGGAAAAAAAAAATAATGGTATTATCAGGGGTCGGCTCCTGCTTCCAACCACGTGGCTGAATGTCCTCCTTCTCTTTGAGAAACCACCTGAGATGAGAATCCCCTCAGACTCACAGATGTGGGGGACAGAAAACCAGGCCTTTATTCTCGGGAGGTGGTACTAATCATGCTGACTCGTCCTCAGTCTACATAACCAGCCAATTACTGTACTACGCCTGTACTAAACAAGCACTGCAACAAGTGTGCCAACATCAACAAGACCATCTCTGATCAGGTGCTGACAGCTTGTGCTCTACCAGTGACGTCAAGCTCCGCATCTGTCAGAGAGCTGCCAGATGTTAATGGGGTTTCTAGATCACAGGAGCAGAGCGGCACTTCCTGGCAGTGAAGTTTCCCCAGCCTGATAACTATAGTATAAGATAGGAATATAAATCCAATGAACTGTCCACACTACAAGCATCATGAAGGAAAAACAGAATTTAGGCTGCCTACAACAGTCATGAAAAACCAAAGGTTAAATAGCTGTGTGAGTACTGAACTACTTTATCACACGGTTAGACACGGTGTGCCTGTAAAGAAACAGGCTTACTTCTGCTTTCCACGTCTTGCAGATAAGACATCTTTTTTTTTATACTATGCATTACATCTATATGTATTGTAAATATATTCCAAACATGGCTACCAGAAGGTAAAAGAAATCAAATATTATTAAGCATATGAAAAACATCTGCATTACTCTATAAGGAACAACACTTAGCATGACAGTATCGGGAAATCTGAATTAAAATTAGAAGGTAATTAAGAACTGCACAAGAAAAAAAATCATATCTATATTAACCCTTCAAAACCAGACATGCAAACTGTTTAACAACTAAAAAAGTTAAAAGCAAGCAATCTTTAGAATGAACACATGAATGCAAATAATATTTTTCCTTGGCTGGAATGGAAACTCACCTCTTCATATACTTTCTTGGCATTGCTGTTATCTCCTATCAAGAGGTAGCCAACACCAAGGTCATTCTTGAATGAAGTATCACTGGGAAACAGCTGAACTAATTTCTGTAGAGTAACCAGGGAACCTCTCATGCGACCTAATTTGATTGAACAAGGCTTAATTACTACTACAGATATAAGTAACAGTAGTAAGACGCTTACACAACATCTAAGAAAACACAAATCAGGGCGAGGTGTTCCACTTTCATTAACGATCAAGAAGCAGAACTTGAAAAAAACTTGTGCAGATAGGAGTATATTCAGCTACTTGGTTGTCACTGGGGGTGTAGCCGTACAAGGAATATTTCAGGAAATCACTGCGAATGCATATCATGCAGTGTTATGGTAGCCTCTAGTGGAGAACTGTTCACAGTGTAGCAGTAACGACATTATTTAAGCTTTGGTTGCTCTTTCATACACAGATGTCAAAGTGCTCGACAAAACTAGCCAAACATATGGAAATAAACTTAGTCTTAATTGAGTAAGTAATTAAATGCATTTCTAGTGTTAAGCAATGGTTCCACTATATTTCCATTATGAAATTAATTAAAATTAAGCTTAAAATTAAGGACATTCCTCGACTTCCCAGATGAGGTTTTGCTGAGGAACAGCAAGATCAAAACAAGTTGATAAGAAAAACCAACCCATGGGAAGAGAACTCTTTTCTCCACCAAAGTTGACTGTGCCTCATATTCTAATCAGCACTTCTTGTACATCACAGAATTGAGATCTAAACTTTCAGATGTTATCCCTGAGTCCAATTCCATTCTTCTCTGTGTTTACTGAAAGTTTATTCTGGGTATGTTTACTCTGTGTATGCCATTAGTTTCCTCATGATTTCCCTCAGCTTCAGTAGAAAAAGGACATTTTCTTCTTTTTCTGTCAATAAAAATTTTTTGACCACCTACCATCATGGCTTCTTATAGCACCTAGTGTACTGCTGTCTACAGACACTATTATCATACAAGTAATTATATACGCTAGTTCCCTAGAAAAATTTTGAAGAATTTTAAAATATTTTTCATAAGCATTTAAGAGATTAGAAACATAAGTCCTACCTAAAATTCAATAGAATTGGTACTTTTAAGTCCTTAGTGATCTTTTGAAAGTCTTGTTCACACAACTTCCATAATTTTTACTCTGTCCTCAAATCTTACCAAGAAACTGCTGCCTGTCTGCTTCTCGTTTCAAGCTCAGTTTTATCAGATCTGAAGGGACATTTGGCAGACTAACCACCTCATCGTAGGTGTTGATGGCTTTTTGCAGCATCTCATTACTTCTCATTTTCTCAGCTAAGTCATCTTCAGACTAGAAAGAATCACAAAACCATTATTAGAACACATAATAATCCATTAGTCTTAAAAATAACTTTGTTTTCTTAAAAGGCAAACTATGCAATTGTTAAACTATGGCAATAATTTTAGAATTATCTTTAATCTATATAATTTTGGCATAACAATGGAAAACTTATTTGGTTGTGCTTTATGTTAAGGCAGATTAGAATTACTGTTAATTCTTGTTTCCTGCAAACTGTTTGAAAGCATAAGCATGACAAAATTTGAACCTAAAAAATACATTAACACACGGTTTTGGTTAATATTCGTAGAAGTCATAATTTCTGGTTTTGAAAATAAACAAAGCAATCTGTTTTAATAATACGGAAGAATTGTAAATTGCTGCCTACGGATTATTTGTATACTAAGCCTCACACTGGCAGTAATACACAGATCAAAACACACCAACAAACATTACTTTCATATATTCCAATACAAATTTATTTACACTTGTTGTTGGAAAAATAATTAGGAATTGGCTTTGCTCTTGATATGTTGATAGAATAGCTACTCTACAACCCTTTAGAACTTAAATTCATTCATCAAGCTCAGGAGCAGACCAAAGGATACACAAGATCTCTACTGTGAAATTACAGCTTCAGTGAAGCCAATGGAAGCCGCTACTGATTTCACCTGGGGTATGGCACATTCATAATTTGTTTCCACAGCTCAAAAAGATATGACTATATCTCAAATGCTGAATTTTTAAAGCATTACTTTGAATTTTTTACACAAATGTATGCATTTTCGTGTGTTTAATGCATTATTCCCAAATACTGCTTTTTTTTGGTTTATGATCTTAAGTCAATTAGCAGAGCACGGTGTGGGTGCATTGCAAACACTGCAGGTGCAGAAGCTCTCATTGGTCTATTTAAATTCACTGTTGTATCAATCAAACACATCAATTTAAACAGCTTCAACTGTGCTAGCTGCATATGCTGTAGTAAACAGTTAATATATGGAATCTTTTTGCACTTCTGTCCTTTACTTTTTTCACTTGGGTTACTTTGAAATTGAGGATGGGAAATACCAAAAAATATGGTTACTCAGCCAAACAGTTGATCAGATGGTTTCAGAGATAACTTCAGAGATCATTTTTAAGAAATAATTTATTTTTCTGATGTACATTCACTAGGAATTTGCTTTTCCTTCTTTTTGAGGCAATAGCAGGGCAAAGAATAGTAAGAGATACATAAGTAAGAGGCAAAAATTGTCAGCATAAAATCTGCATAAATTCACCCGTATAGACCCTATCAATAATATAAGGACGTTTAAAACCTATTTACTCTTCTTTTCAGCCTTAAAGATGTTAACAATTTCTGTAGGATACTTTTCATCTGGCCTAAGTGTAGCTCCAGAAATCAAATTAGGAATTGCTCAAATTTCAGAAAAACACTTCTAATTATGAAATTTTGCATAATTTTGGGGGAAACAGTTGCCTTTTAAAGCTATTAAAAGATCCAGAAAAATGAATCCTCATGTCTTATTAGAAACTGAATCTACAAAATTAACATGTAACATTGGTTCATAGAAATGGAGAAGTACACTCTTGTGGTGAATTCCTGGCCTTTACCCTTACCCTTCTCTGCAATTTAACCTTTAGTTAGTGATGAGACATAGCAAATTTGCATGTGTTGTGTTGGTATAAACACCCATTTAAGAGTAACACGTTGTTACAATGTAAATCCTAAGAATAATCCGTCATTGAAGCCCATGATTTTCCCATTCCTTCAAACACCTTCAAGTTACACATACTGGATACAATAAATTGTCATTGGTCATGTTAATATGAGTGTTCAGTAAAAAGACTTGTATAAGCCTACAAAGGCTACTGAAAATGGAAATGAATTTATAGTTATTTTTATACATTCCCACAAACTGTATGCTAATTATGACTTCAGATCTTGGTCTGTAGGACCTTTTAAGCATTACTAAAGTATTAAGTTGTGACTACGAATTGTTGTAAAGGGACAAATGAAGTTGTGTCACTGGGGGGAATTCTGAATGAGAATAAGTTTCACAGCTGACTTCAAAGATCTGCTCTCCTCCCTAAAAGCAGTGAGCTAATGAGGAGACAGAAGGCATATTCTCTTAGATACAATGAGCAGATTCATTAAAAAGGTAAATATTAAAAGTGTAAGTTGACAGAGTTAAGTCCATCATATATATGAACCGAAGTGGTCTCCTACTGTAAGAAGGCAAATAGTTCAGCAGACTATCCGTCACACAGAGCACTAAAGTATTTGGTCTGCTCTGTATCAAGTGCTTGTGTGATAGTTTTTTGGATAATCGTAGCTTTGGTTTTAGCATGACTATTATTAACCAAGTGAAAACTGGTTGTGACTCCAATTCAAGTGCCTCATTAATTGTATAACAGCACAATTCCCTTCTACGGTAAGGGTTCCACTTTGCTCATCTTGATTAACAGGAGTTCAAGCGGTCTTTTATTACACCTAGTGCAGTGGGATTATCCTACTATTTATGAAAATACAAGGGTTATTCTCTTCTGAGATATCTCAACACAGCTCAAAAGTATTACGAATGCAGAGCTTATTTTCCAATGCTTTCTCTTTTTTTGGATGAGAACAGCTGAAACAGAACTCACTCCACAAATAAAGGCTAATTAAGCCTCCTTGCCTACAAATTTGGATTCGTTATCCTTTAACACTCTCTCTATAAAAACTCCAAATCCCTTTCCCTATTCCCACTAAGCAAAAAACAGCATTTAGCGCAGAGCTGATGGATGTGTTGATTTACCAGCTGCAGCAAACAGTATGTAACAACTAAGTTCTGCTTGTTGTTCCTGCACTAGGACATTAGTTGGGATTTATCTCTTACTGTTCATCTGACAGTTTTTGTGACATCTACAGGACGTATCTTACTTTCGTGTTATTTACAATATTTCCCACTACACTGAAGTTAAGACAAAATCTTCCAAAGTAATTAGGGAAGGATAGAGAACTGAAACAGATAAAATATGACAGATCACATAATTCTTTTTTTCCTTAGGAAACATCTCTAAAATTATAAATGGAGTCTGCCTAGGGTTTAGAACTCTATTTTTAAAAAAGGTTTATTTTATCTTTTTTAACATTTATAGCTTTTTTTAGTACCTGTGCTTTCCCATATCTTGCTCGAGGACTCTGTGGATATTGATTCACTAATGCTTCAAAGGCCCTTAGAGCTTCTTCAACTTTTCCCTGAAAGGCAGAGATATTTACCAGCAATTCTATCTAATAAAAATGCTGAAGGATGCATGACCTAATAACACATTAGTTTCCCCAATTAAAAAAAAAAAGAAAACAAAAAAACCCACAGACTGAATCAACAGTTTTCACTCATATTTTTGTTGGGATTGCCTGCTTATTTAAGAGAAATTCATTGTCATTATTTATGAAACAATATTATCTACTTTCCATGGTTAAAATTAAAAGCTTTGTTTTTATTTTACTCACTTTCCCTTTGTTGACTGGAAAAAATGCTGAAATGACAATAACCTGTCTATATCAAAACGTAAAGATTCTATTGCTAATAACAAAATCCAAACTGAGTGTAACAGAGAATAAAAAGCAAGTTCTACACACATCTAGAAATTTCCTCTCTGCATACCTCATATGACCAGCAGTATCATAACTGTGGTTCTTCTAAGGGAAATACTAGACTCATCCATAGTGCATGGCTCTTTCCTCCAAATGTTTTGAATAACCATGTCCCTGAGGACACCTCACATGTGCTCTGTGTCTCTTCCCTGTCCCATACAAAGTTCAAATGTAACTATGGTATTCTCATGATTGATGCTGACTAGCAAGTAAGGATGGAAGTTGAGGAAAACCAGCTGCACTGTTAAATAGGAGCTGAGCGCTGCTTAGCAAAATTTGGCATCAGATCTCGCTGCCACTCGCAACACTTACAGCTTTATAAATATGAGGGATTATTATACACAACTGTCTTGCTATCTTCAAATATTACATATGTCTGATTTGTTACTAAATTTATCCTGCTTCCTATTAAACAAAAGCATGATTGTCTGCAACTCATCAAGAGACGCAGGCAGCAAAAGAGAGTCAGGCAACTGACCCTATCAGCTCATCAAAAGTTTCTGTTATGCCTTTCTCTGATCAACCAATTGTTTAAGCAACAAGAAGCATGAAAATGCTTTTCATTTTTGTATTCTAACACATAAACAAGGCTCCTAGTGAAGAAAAGCAGCAGAGGCAGCCTGAGGTTAGTGCTCTCTCTGTAGTAGCCCTTCAAGCCCCATCACAGACCTACAGGAACTCTGGGGCTGCATGGATGGCAATGTAAAGCTAAATCTGCACAGTCAGTCTTCTGAAAATCAATAATAATCCCACATCTGCAATGACTAAAATGTTTTCCCTTGTACTGTACTGAAAATAGTGTATCTCATTGCTCAGTCATCTCAAATCCAGGGTAGAACAAAGACCTGCAGTTGTTCTCCATGTGCTACGACTGTCTGTGAGGCATACCAGAGTTTTTACAAGACTTACACCCAAAAGACTTAAGGTCTTTCATTTCTAAAAGTCACGTAGTCTTGCTTCACTATTTAATCTCACATCTGGAAAAGGGACACCTCTGCAAAGGTCTTGTTTTCTGAAACATTCAAATAAAAGTATAAAATTGGAAGTTATCAGAGATGACTGAAGAGTTTTTGTTTATTGTTGGGGTTTTTTAGTTTGTTTTTCACAGTCAAGTTATTAAATTCAAAACTACCAAAACTGACTGATTGATGTTAAGGTCTTGCTGCCACTGGTGAGAAGCAGGAACATCTGCTTCGTGCTGTAAGCAGCTGTATGGGAGCAGACGCTCATGGGAAACACACAGAATTCCAGCAGAAACAACGCCTGCTACAAAGATTTACACCTAATGCTCAAGAAGCATGTGAACACTTACTGCAAGATCCATATTAACACACTTATATTATCTAAGTGCTCTGATAAGAGCTGACTTCAGTACTCAAACGGAAAACAGTGATAGGATAGATCTAACCCTGTTCTGTGTGATTAATTTAAGCAGTTTTTTGATGACAGGAATTCAACAGTTAAGCTAAATATTTTCAAGGTTAAAGGTGAGCAAACACACATGAATAGACATACACTCACGACTTCAAAAATTTAAGATAAACTATCCAACAGAAACGAAACTTGAAGGATAAACATGCACTGAATATTTAATTTTAAAAAGTTAATTTCACAGAAAGTAATCTAAAAGTAATTTTCCCTTTTTCTAAGTTAATTTTTATTGTATTCATTTTTGTCCACTATTTACAGTCCTGAGGGAAATGTTCAAAACTTACTTTTTTACGTAATTTTTCTGCAGCATCTAGTTCAGCTTTAATGGTCTTATCAAACTTGTTTAAGAGCTTTGGCTTCTTCTTCTTTTTAGCTGGAAGAGATTTAAAAACACACAGTTCATTTCCTCTTTTGCATTTCACAGAAATTGTTTGGAGTAATCATCTTTAACTAGAGACTAGTACTGTGCTGGTAAAGCGTACAATTTTCAAAAAAGGCAGTTTCAAAATACATTGGAAAGAAATTGATTTCTTACTTATTACAATCACAAACTCCTGTATGAAAAAGCAATCTTCAGTCATTCAAACTCAATAACTTTGCAGTCTTTGATAAAGCATTTTTCATCTCATATAGTCAAGGATTTTTTTCCAAATGGTTCAAATGACATGGAAGAAGAGAAAGAACTGTTATTTTTCCACATTTATATGGTATTATGAAAAATATCATTACCAGAACATGTTAATAATTTCCAAAGTTGTGCCTATATATGTCTACTTCTTTGTCTAAAACAATTAAAACAGTTGATAGAAATCATAGTTACGCAGGGTAGGACGGACTTAAAAAGTCATGTTTGAAAACGGGTTCAACGCTGAAATGGCTGATCAAGACCTCTAAGTGATCAAGTTTCCACAGCTTAGCAAGCTATCACACAGTTGCAGAGCAGCAGCAGTATGTAGCAAACCAGTCTTGAAGTAAATTGTGTAAAGTACATTGCATTTGAAGCAAATTGAAGTAAATTCTGCCAATTTAAACAGCTATTTACTTCATAGCAGCTCACTCTTAAAAAATGTCTATTTGGTGGCATTAAGTGTACAGATGTTAAAAAAAAGAAAATACACTACTGAAGGATATGACATGAGGTAACTGCTTTTCTCCACATTTGCTATAGCTAAACTTTGTTTTTGCACTTAATTAAAAAAAAAAAAAACAAAACCAAAAACCTTTTCTGACACAAGTAAGGAAAATATATATTGGCTGACACAAGTAACTACTAGTTATGTATATCTGGAATTAGTAGAACATATTTTTGCTTAAATTATGTGTTACTGTTTTTCCCCTCTATGGACAATAAGTCATTAATAGCATGAAAAGAAGTAAAATTATTATTTTCTTTGTAGAAGTGTAAACAGGGAATGCCATAACTGGCATGCATAAAGCTAAACCCCAACACCATACAGCTTAACATCACAAGATTCCTGCAATGCTGTAGCATGTATTTTGGATAACTGCTACGAGGTATTGTAACTAGTCATGTTTTATTCTGCTTCCCAAGTCCTCAGGTGCACTGTTCAGGGATGACAAGAGCCATCACATGCTACTGGAAGCTACTGGAAGCATGATTCATTAAATGATACTTTCTCTCTGCGACTCTGATCCTACACAGAGTTTTAGGCAGACAAACCACTTTGTCTATGTTAAACCTCAGAGAAAGATCAACGCCTTAGTTAATGCTAAACCAACCCTAACCCCAACCAAGCATTAGAGGATCTCATAAGTCTGAGCTGCTTCTGCACAAGATAAAAAAAACTTGACCCCATTTAATTCTTTCTGGTAAGACTTTTACTGTTATGTTCGACACTGAACTTGGACAGCTCTGCATGGAGAGAGTTATTCTTACGTTACCTTTATAAACTATTCTGCAGCATTGCTGTGCACAGTTAAATAGATGCTATTGCTTTTCAGGGGTGGGTGGGGGGAAATAGAATTTAAGCAGGATTGAAGCTATCCTACTAAATTCCATGTACTTATTCACATAGGTCGCATGAAGCTTTAAATATAAAAATGTCTTAAGATCTATAAAGAAAAGGTACTAAAGAAGCAGTGCATTAGGATTATTATATGCCTGTTGATCCTTCTTACAATAGAAGTGACTGTAATTTTCCAAGGCATTAGCTACCAAGAAGGTAAGAAGGAAAAAACTGTCTGACATACAGGGGCTTACTGCTTTTTAAGGAAAATCCACCAAATAGCATACTTTAATATATTAGGTTTTGCTCCCCTAAACACTTCAGGATTTCATTGTACCCTATGACTTTAAATCAAGCATTTATACTCAAGCACACAATAATGCAATTAAGGAATGTAGTTATCATGGAACTGAACTGACTAAAGAGATGCTTTGCATTATATTTTTTTAATATAATAATATAGATGGTTTTCATGTCTTTTGCTCATTCCCCATAGTTAATATACTAGAAATGCATTTCAGTCTGTGGCCAATTCCAGTCTTGCTATGTCTTACTTTAATATTAACCGTTTCATAGGAAAGCGATGTCTTTACTGCATTTTCATGCAGTTAATGATGATAGTGATTAAAGGAGCACAGCACTGGCTCTGTTCCAAGTGTTCATACCCCTTGAATCCAGCAGAACTCACAGAACCAGCTCTCATTGTGAGAGCGAGGGTCCCTCCACCCCAGACCTTGCATCCACAGTGACTAACAGGTATGGACAGAAGTTTCTCACATAACATCACTGTGCCTGAAAAGAACAATCCATAACATGCAAAAGGTTTGCTGGTTTTCGTGGTTTTTATACTTTTTTTTTCTGAAAATATACTAGCTCAGTTTTTCAAGAAACCATTGCTATTTCTAAGGCCTGGCTTTCTCAACAGTAGGTGTGGATGAATCCGAAAGCATCAGCCCAAGGAGCCATTAAAAGCAAGTGTCCCTGAGGACTTTTTAGGTTGGTTGAGCTCACAGCTGCTACATGAAACTGTCATTTGTTGTTAGCAAGAAAACTGAGGCATGTCAGTTCCTCTGGGTACATGATCTGGGGAGCTTCCAGCTGGACATCACCACCAAACACTCAGTTTGTTCCCGTTCTCTAAGTAGAAGGCTGTAGATACAAGAAATGATGTAACCCACAACTAAAACGTCAATTCTCAGTTCCTATGGCATGAATTAAAATGTTCATCTAAAACTGGCCTGTTACACAGAAACTGTGGGTTCATTAAGAGAGGACAGCTATTTGTCAGCTTTCTAACTTTCGGTATTTATGGAAAGACGTAGTCATTTGGTCCTTCTCAAACTCGGTAAGCATGGCAACAGTAAGGTTCCTTCAAGGCAATAGAAAGAAGCTTTCCCACCCACCAAGAAACTCTTACTGCCTGTGGGACACTGTTTCCACAATTCCTGTGAGTTTACAAGGAGATGAGACAGAAACAGCTCGGAAGAAAGAGTGAATGAAAATCTTACAAGTCTGTGGCACAAAGGTATGACATCTTTCCCCTCATATCTGACTTTGGTGATGTGTTGGAAGAACCTTTTTGCCACCCTCTGTTACAAAAAAGTATTATCTTCCCATTTTCAGTACAATTATATACCAGCTCTAGACCAGCAGGAGATCAATATGAAAAGCTGGAAAGGAGCTGTTAACATAAATATTATTCAGCTGCTAGGCACCGATATAACACAGTAAACATTATATAACGAGCAATCATTTTCATCTCCCATTCTACTCCTATGTTAAAGGATTCACCGGGGAGCTTTCAGTGTAACCATCAAGCATTCCTCTATATTAACCAGATAGCCTGCTATCTCCCTGCAGGGGTATTTTAATAAATTATCCATTGCCTCCTTCTAGTGTAATAATCTTTTAGCAGATGTGACCCAATATATTAAATTCAATGTTACAAAGAAGTTAACTTATCTGTTTTCAGGGGAAAAAACATGTAGTTTTTCTTCAATGACTTACAGATTTCACCATGTAGCTGAAGTAATGCATGATCACACAACTGCTAGGGTGATTTGTAGTCCAAATCTGGTTGAGCATTAAAATGGTAATAATTCTTTTATATATCATACTACGGTCTTGCAAGAATAATACTGAGGATTTTCAATAATGGCCTTGGATGTAAGGATAGGCTTTCTATCTAGGATTGCTGAAGACTCCCTCAGAGAAAACAGTTTCCACTGTCAAAGCAGCAAGCTAGGAAGAAGTCTTACAAGAAACTCCATGCTAGTTCCTTCTGTTAGAGAATAAACAATGGCCAGTGACGACAAGCAATCTCTTATCTCCCTTCTCTATAAAGATACAGAAGAAAAAAAAAAAACTGAGAAGGAAAATATTTTGGAAGTAGTAATGTATTAAATGTTCAGTAAACTTAATAGCCTGTATGTCATCCAATGAAAGATGATGAAATAGCTATTTTATATACCTATTTTGGCACATGAAAACTAAAATACCAGGCATATTTTATGTTGAAAGGCACCTTGTCATCACCAAAAGCAGTGACAGTCTTTTTCTACAAATACCTTTTGAAAAATAAGGAAGGCACTGCTAGATACTCTTCAGACCACAAGAGCATCACGTGAAAAATAAGGAAAAGTAACCAAATGATTAAAGGTGATTGAATCACTTACTTCTGAAGAATGGTTTAAAAATATTTTGTCTTTAATTGTTGGGGGAGGCAGAGGGGCAACATTTACATCTGAATAAGCAAGAACAAAGAGGAAAAGGTGGTAGTAAAGAGTTTGCCACTGGAAGAGGGGTACATACCACTCTGTAAAAAGTAGCTACAGAGATGAAAAGAATAACTTGTTCTCTATATCACCATAGTCAGGACAAGGAATAAAAGGCTTAAAATTGCTACAAGAGAAAATTAGGCTTGAACATCTGGAGCTAGTATCTCTGAGCAAGCACAGTAGAACAGATTGCTGAGGATAGTTGTGGAATTCTAATTACTGGAAATTTGTAAGAACAAGTTGTATAAGCACCTGCCAGGAACGATGCATACAGTTCATAAGGCCTTTGCTCAACATAATAGACAAAGTAAACTGCAGGGTCCCACCTAGTCTTATTTTCTACAATTTCTGTAATATACTGCTATATGTCAATGCACTTTAGTGCCAAGACAATAATTACACAGGGAACTTCCCTTCTTTCATTTGTTAATTAAAGAAATTCTCCCAGAAGCTCACTGTGCCAGTCATCATTGTGATTGAGATTCCTCCTAGCCCTATGCCAGCAACAGAATACTGAAGTTCAAAAATAAATGGATCAGTTGCAGATTATCTGATTTGTCTAACAATCGTGCTTTTATGTTCTGCAGCTTCTACTCAACCATTAAGCTTCTGTTCATCTCCTTTCTCTT